GATTGTTGCCAGCATGCGGGATGGCTCAAGTTGGCCAAAATGTCACCGGAAACATTTGGAGGCGAAAGCTGCCATCTCTGAACGCTTGGGAAAACCAGTCACTTTTCAGAAACTACCTGCATTCCACAGGTACAACAGGAGGTCATATGTTTTGTGATGTTTTGTGTACAGTCTAGCCTAGCTGTCTGGGGGGGAGTGTCTCGTTGGCCATGGGCCATGATTCACGGTGAGGTTCCAAGCCCCGCTGAGCTCTTTGACCAGTTCTCCAACAGATGGAGCCGGTGTCTGCCTCCAAGAGAACAGGACCTACTCTACACCCACATGTGGGTGTGACTCGGTGAAACAGCGTGCTGTGCACATGTTGTTGACGGTAAGAAGTACTAGACTAGAAGTTTATAGAATTAGAAGTAGAAGTAATACCCCGCCGCCCCACCCCGTTTTTTTGAAGATGAGGCTTCGCACTGCAGTGCTTGCTCCTGATGAACCGACGCCACCTTTGCTGTGGGACCTGACGAATAACATCACGTTCCAATGTTGGAAGTCTACCAATCACCACTCGGTGCTTCCTTGCCTTTTGAGGGGCCACCGGATTTGGCACATTGCCAAGAACCGTCCAGTCATGGGAGTGGAACTGTTGCACGGGCAAGGCTTTCCAGTGGGCAAGGTTGTAAGCAGTGGAGTTTCTGAGCGTGGAAGGGATTTGAGTGTGAAAGTGCCCTGGCAGAGTGTGCAGTGTGAAGTGTGTCAACAGGAAGCTGTGTTTACTGCGTAACTAGGTTGGAACAACATAGGATGGGGACCCCCCAAAGCCTAGCAAAAAAAAATAAACGCGAAAAACAGGATATTGATCCTAATCAATAAACCGAAAAAATATCAATATTTTTGATTTGCCTAAAATATTGAAAATCATATTGATTTTGATATTGATTCCGGTATTGATTTCTGGGCAGCTTCGAAAAAGCAAATTTGATCAAATTTGATCAGTTTTGATCAAAATTGATCAATTTTGATCAAATTTGATCAAATTTGGCTGGTTTTTGATCAAATTTGATCAAATTTGGCTGGTTTTTGATCAAATTTGATCAAATTTGATCAAGCTGACCATGTTGCTGTTTATTGAATTTCCTATTGATTTTTGCTTGGCTTTGAGGAAGAATTTCTATTGAAAAAGCACGCGCCCAAATCAATAGAAATTGTTGATTTTTTTCAAGAATATTGATTAGGATCAATATCTGATGCCCAGGGTATAACAATATCACCGGCATATACCCAAGAACATGCAGACCGAGAATAGGCACCCAGCGCCGCCAGGCCGCCCGACCATGACACCGGACCATCGGATCAGCGGACCATCGGCTCATCGGACCATCGGATCAGCAGACCATCGGACCATCGGATCAGCGGACCATCGGATCATCGGACCATCGGATCAGCGGA